GTATAATTGATCTTGGTTTTGTTTATGATCAGCGTTTGGATCATCATCAACTCCAGCAACTTCAACTGGTAACTTTGACATTGATCTTGAGAAGCTTGTGTCAATGACCAGGAACCAGAACATGTCCAATTTGCAGCAATATGGAGGAGTATGTGATTCAAGACTCATATTGCATTATAAATGGGAAGATTTCATGATGATATACTGACATTTAACTACTGAAACCTTTCAGGTCAAAGGTGTTGCAGAGAAGTTGAAGTCAAATCTGGAGCAAGGAATCGAGGAGGATGAGAAAAAGGTGATAGATAGGAAGAGTGCATTTGGATCTAACACGTATCCAAAGAAGAAGGGGAAAAACTTTTTTGTAAGCATTTGCGCCGGTGTCTTCAAACGTCCTTCTTTGGTGGTGTTTTTTACCAGTTCGTGGATAACTCATACATTTATTACTCTCTGTTGTTGTCCAATAGATGTTCCTCTGGGAAGCTTGGCAAGATTTAACTCTGATCATCTTGATCATAGCTGCTATAACATCACTCGCACTGGGAATAAAGACAGAGGTATGTCTGTGTGCCTTTCAGATAAGTTCTTACTTCTCCAAATTAGGAACTGACTTATTTTGTGCCTTATATACTTTCTTTTGGTTACTACTTTCATCAGGGTTTGAAAGAAGGTTGGCTTGATGGTGGAAGCATTGCCTTTGCAGTTTTGCTTGTCATTATTGTCACAGGTATGAACATGCTTTTTCTTCTATTGCCTACATTTTTTCTTTGTGTTTTATGTCAAATTCTTGAATCTTTCTTTACCTTTTATCTTTTGATTCTTTCAGCTGTTAGTGACTATCGCCAATCTCTTCAGTTTCAAAACCTCAACGATGAAAAAAGAAATATACAACTTGAGGTGCTTGTTTTAACATCTTAGATTGTTTGCAGTTATATGTTTTTGAGCTGATAACTAAATAAAACGAAATCTCTTACAGGTCATGAGGGGAGGGAGAACAGTGAAGATTTCAATCTATGACGTTGTTGTCGGAGATGTTATACCTCTAAGAATTGGTGACCAGGTATGTATACTTTGTCAGTATATTCCATTTGTGGCTTCAGTATTAAACTACACTTTGGCCTTACGTATTGTATGTATCCATCTAGGTCCCTGCGGATGGAGTGCTAATTAGTGGTCATTCTCTTGCTATTGATGAATCTAGCATGACCGGTGAAAGCAAGATTGTGAGTTCATCATGGTTCTGCTTGTGCAATTTTATGCTTATTGTCTCTCTCTATTTTCTAACATATACCTTTGTTGCAGGTTCACAAGGATCAAAAATCCCCTTTTCTAATGTCTGGTTGTAAAGTAGCTGACGGAGTCGGTAATATGCTGGTAAAGCTTTTGTCCTTCTTCTGTTTTTACATGTTTTCAAAATTTCTGGTAGTTATTCTTTGCGAGTCTTTCAACAGGTTACCGGTGTTGGAATCAATACTGAATGGGGACTGTTGATGGCAAGTATCTCAGAGGACACTGGTGAAGAAACCCCATTGCAGGTATATCAACTTGATGACATTTTTTTACAACATCTTGAAGAAGCCTAACGATTCTTTTTGGTAATCTTACAACAGGTGCGTTTAAACGGTCTTGCAACCTTCATCGGCATAGTGGGGCTCTCAGTGGCTCTTGTTGTCCTGGTGGCTCTTCTTGTGAGGTAATCTTATTTACCTTGGTCAATAAATCTTTTTGGCTTACAACTTCATGCCATGTTGAGGGTTATAATCTTGAATTTTTTTCCAGATATTTTACCGGAACTACTCAAGATGCTAGTGGAGCGACCCAGTTTATCAAAGGGACGACTAGCGTCAGTGACATTGTAGATGATTGTGTGAAGATTTTTACAATCGCCGTAAGTATTCATTCCACATTAGTGATTATGTTATTCGATAGACATATCAATTAAATTTGGCATTTGTTTAGGTTACTATTGTGGTTGTGGCAGTGCCTGAGGGACTTCCCCTAGCAGTTACCCTCACGTAAGACTCTACTTAATATAATCCATTCAGAATATAACTAACTACATCTCAGGTCTTGATCTACTTTTGCTTGACTCCATATTTTCAGTTTGGCTTACTCAATGCGAAAGATGATGGCAGACAAAGCTTTGGTAAGAATCAGAACGAATCTACTCGCTTTAGTTCTTTCTTTCTTGGTTATTGTCTTACCAGGTTTCAATTGCTAAACAGGTTAGGAGGCTTTCAGCTTGTGAAACCATGGGGTCAGCAACAACAATCTGCAGTGACAAAACTGGAACTTTAACTTTGAATCAGGTCAGTCTCTAGTAAAACTCAGCATCAACGCAATGGGAGCTTCTTCATTGACATGAAAATCATCTTACTCTTTTAGATAACTAATTTTACACCTCAAAAAAAATACAGATGACCGTGGTTGAGACTTATGCTGGAGGAGCAAAGATGGATGTAGCTGACAACCCTTCTGGCCTCCACCCTAATCTTGTTGCCTTAATAAGTGAGGGTGTGGCACAGAACACCACAGGAAACGTTTTTCATCCCAAGGTGGTTTTTCTACTCTGACATTGTCGAATCTTCTTAGCTCTTTAGATTGAAACGAGCCAAAACGACGGCTTCCTTACTTTAAGCTCATCCGGTGGTTATCAAATGATGGATGTTTAGTGCTCATGTTGTTTTACTGTAGGATGGTGGAGAAGTGGAGATTTCTGGATCTCCTACAGAGAAGGCTATTCTGTCTTGGGCGTATAAGGTATCAAATTTACTCTGGTCTGTATTTGACTTATTTTTCCTATGTATGTGCAATATATTTAAAGAAGCTGTTCTTGCAGTTGGGGATGAAATTTGATACCATCAGGTCAGAGTCTGCTATCATCCATGCTTTCCCTTTCAATTCAGAGAAAAAGCGTGGAGGTGTTGCTGTGCTTCGAGTAATGTCTTGATCCTTTCTCCAATTTTCACAGTTAGGGAATTAGTAAAAAGTTGTTTAGGCATTGCATAAGTGGTTTCTTCAGCTCACCGCTATGTTCTGCTGACATTTCAGTAATTTAACACATGACATCTTCTCATCGCCATTCAATGAGGAAAGTATCAAACTCTAAAAATATTAGTATGAAGCTGATTGGGAGTATATTAATTCACTGCAGGGTGATTCTGAAGTTTTCATTCACTGGAAGGGAGCAGCGGAGATTGTTCTGGCTTGCTGTACACAATACATGGACTCAAATGGTACTCTGCAGTCCATTGATAGCCAGAAGGTGAGGTGATGCAAAACAAAATGGGGAATAACAATCTCTCTAAGGTCTTATTAAATTAGGAGAAAGAATTGGCGTCAAAATTAAAAAAGTTGTGTTAAAATTTCACTTGAAGGACACACTCTTGATAGGACTAAACATTTGCCTTTTCTATGCTTCTCATCTTAGATTTCAAAAACGTTCGTGTTTGGAATTTCTTTTTGCAGGAGTTTTTCAGACTTGCTATTGATGCCATGGCGAAAAATAGCTTGCGGTGTGTTGCTATTGCATGCAGAACACAGGAGTTGAACAAAGTTCCCAAAGAACAGGAGGACTTGGATAAATGGGCTTTACCAGAAGATGAATTGACTTTGCTCGCTATCGTTGGTATAAAGGTAGGCATGCTGACAGCTTTTCTTTGGTAACGGGAGGTTGTTTTATGCGTTCACTATGTGACGATTTTCCTTTCTTCCAAAGATATTGATTTTTATTGCTCTTGTTCTTTTGGCAAATGGTATACTCTATATAGGATCCTTGTCGTCCTGGTGTCAGAGAAGCAGTGAGAATTTGCACCAGTGCTGGTGTTAAGGTAGACTTCTAGCCTCTCCGAACTTTACTGTGGTTGTCTATAGATAATCTTATGCATAGAACCTGAAATGACCGTGATCCTCTTTTTCTATTTGTTGCTGCTATATTTTGGATTATTGGTTTTTGCAGCATCAGTAATAGCATTAAAATCCTGTTGTGATATGATATAGCTGCTCAGCCCATCAGTAAATGCATGATCATCATCTTGTTCATGATAGAGCTGCTCAGCCCATCTGTAACATTTACAAATGAAACATTTGTGTCTCTAGGTACGAATGGTGACTGGTGACAATCTTCAAACAGCAAAAGCAATTGCTTTGGAGTGTGGTATACTTTCTTCAGATACAGATGCCGTTGAGCCTACTATCATTGAAGGAAAAGTGTTCCGTGAGCTATCTGAAAAAGAGAGAGAACAAGTAGCCAAGAAAATAACGGTATGATAGTTAAACAGTCGAGGATTATGTGACCTTACTTCTGCTATTTCAAATATTAACTTGGGGTAAAAATGCAGGTGATGGGTCGGTCCTCTCCTAATGACAAGCTTTTACTTGTTCAAGCACTACGGAAAAATGGAGATGTTGTTGCTGTCACTGGTGATGGTACCAATGATGCTCCTGCACTCCACGAGGTTAGAAATCCTCTTTCCATTCATAAGATAGCAATTCGTGTACAGTTTATATTATGTCTTGTGTTTCAATTCCAAATCTGAATCTTCTTTTATTGCTTTGTTCTATAGGCAGACATTGGTCTCTCTATGGGTATATCTGGAACAGAAGTTGCGAAAGAGAGTTCAGACATCATCATTTTGGATGACAATTTCGCTTCAGTAGTAAAGGTAGGTCTAGTGCAAATAGAAAGATGTGATATTTTAGCATATCCTTCATCGTTGAGTGTATACCTCCAGAGCTACACTCTATGCCTTTCTAATCATGCAATTCTGTTTACTGTTGCAGGTTGTTCGCTGGGGCCGTTCTGTGTACGCAAATATTCAGAAGTTCATACAATTCCAGCTTACTGTGAATGTTGCAGCTCTTATAATCAATGTTGTAGCCGCAATGTCTTCTGGTGACGTTCCTCTAAAGGCTGTACAGGTTAGTTAATCTTTCCTTATCTTTCTAGCACGAATCTTGATGCTTTCTGAAGTGGTTAAACTAAAAATGGAGAACAAAAGAAATATAATGGTGTTCGTTGATACAGCTACTTTGGGTCAACCTTATCATGGATACTCTTGGAGCACTTGCACTCGCTACAGAGCCACCAACAGACCATCTTATGCATAGAACCCCTGTTGGAAGAAGGTAATAGCATCGTGAACATGATGTTTTACTGAGAATTTTAGATATTATGTTATGTGGTTCGTGATGGTTTGTTTCTGGATTTGCAGGGAGCCTCTTATAACAAACATCATGTGGAGGAATTTGCTTGTGCAGGTGACTTGTTTTGCAAAAACCATCTTGATGTTGATTTATTACTAAACATGTTTCCTATAGTGCATGTCTCTGAACTTATAATCTGTGGATGTTGCAGTCATTCTACCAAGTGGCTGTCCTCCTAGTTCTCAACTTTGCAGGCTTGACCATTCTTGGCTTGAACCACGAGAACCATGCACATGCTGTGGAAGTGAAGAACACTATGATCTTCAATGCCTTCGTTATGTGTCAAGTAAGCAAATCATCTCCTCTGTCATCTCAAGTTTTAAATCATATGGATTGGGTTTAATCATACAAGTCTTCCAGATATTCAACGAGTTCAACGCAAGGAAACCTGATGAAATGAATGTTTTCCGGGGAGTATCAAAGAACCCTCTCTTCATTGCGATTGTTGGAGTCACTTTTATACTTCAGGTAGGTCTCTTTGTGCTTTTGCTTCTCCCTTGGCACTGTTTTTAGTATCTTCTGATAGTAAATTCTTCTGGTCGAAAATGCAGATACTCATCGTTACTTTCCTCGGAAAGTTTGCCCATACCGTTAGACTGGGATGGCAACTATGGCTTGCTTCTATCGTCATCGGACTTGTCAGGTAGGTCCAATTTCTTCCAACTTTGAAGCTCTCAGTGTTTCTTTCAGAATTATATAATCATTAATTTGTTTTCCCACTGCAGCTGGCCGCTTGCAATTCTTGGGAAACTGATTCCTGTACCCAAGACTCCGATGAGTGTCTACTTCAAGAAGCCGTTCCGTAAATACAAAGCTTCAAGAAATGCATAAAAAACATAAATAGATTCACCTTCCTCATACTGCAACTACAGAAGCAATAACAGAACCTTTGACATTGGCCTAAACCTCTAAC